AGTAAAGCAGTAGGTAATGCCCGTGTATCCATCCGTCTTTGACTACGCCTCTCTCTAATACGGTTATCAATAAGAATGACATAATCTATGACATCATCTAGAAGAACAGGCAATTCCCTGGATGCTATTTCATCCAGTATGTAGGCGGCCAAACCCTCCTGAAAGGCTGTTACGAGGGCGTCATTATTCCAAACCACTTCAGCTGCTAGCGTGCGGAATTCGATAGTATAATCCGCTACAGATCTATTACCCTGTCGTACCCTAAGCAGAGCTTTGCCAGCAGAGGCAACCCCACCAGGTTGATCAAACATACGTTTGAAAGCTGTCAAGAAATCTACAAAGGACATAGGAGATGTATTCTCCCACATGGGGTTAGCCCATGCTAAAGCTTTCCTGGACAGGTGGTTAATCAAAAAGGCAATTTTGGATCTGTCAGTGGGATAGGAACGTGGATTCATCACCAAATGGATGTCAATTTGGTTAAGGAAACCACGACACAATGCTGGGTCACCGCTGTAGCGTTGTGGCGGCGTCATGTGAACAACATGAGCAGGAACGGGTACCGGAGTGGGAATGGGTTCGGGCACAGCAGCAGCAGCCTCCTGGACGGCAGGTTGCAAGTGTGCAGTACGAGCCAGTATGGTTTGTAAAGCTTGGGCAAACTGGTCCATACGGTGGTCCAAGCCATCCATTCTAGCCTCCTGATTAACTAGGAGCTGTGGTATGTCAGCAGGTTCCATTATGGCCCTGTTGTAATGTCACGATTCGGGGAACCAAACACGCCAACACACACACACACACAGCAAAGGTGCCGTACCGGACCTTAGAGTGGCCGGGCTAAGCACACAAAGAATAGTCAGGAAACAAGCCGAGTAAAGGGGAACCAGAAGACAGAATAACGATAGACAAGCCGAGGTCAAAGGGTAGGAGAAAGTCACAGAGTCGGATAACAAGCCAGAGAGTACGTAACCAGAAGCACAAGTTCAGAATCAATACTAACAAGCAAAGACCACAACAGGGTGAAGAGGAACAGGAAAGGTAAGTATATAAATCCAAGGGTTAATTCTGATTGGATAATTTCCAATCAGAATTAACAATCACACGTGGGAGATATCTAAACCTCCCACTGTGATTGAGGCACTGTGCCTTTAACGCCGGGTCAGGTGACTGACCCCGGCGTTGGTTAAAGTGGGCGGTCTCCCAGCGTGCAGCGTCATACAGACACAGAGGAAGAGGCGGACGGCACCCGTGGGAGAGAGGGTGCCGCCCGCCGAGCACACGGCTGAAGGGGGACCGCGGACGGCTGGAGGGTGAGTGCCGCGAGCGGACTGCAACCTCCCCTCGCAGCCGCCCGCGGGACCCTGACAGATAGTGTGAAGGATTTCCCACAACCCGTTTGGTTGTTTCCACTCGCTGCTGTTTTATTCACTTCGATCATTTAGTTATTTTTCGTTGTTCGGTAAAATATTTATTTTACCAAATGGAGACCACCCTGGGTACCAATTAGAACATAGAACCTTGTGTAGTTACACAAAAAACAAAATCCGCAGGAAAATACACAGTTTTACACAATATTCACTTTAAATGTATACATCACATTCACATAAAAACTTAAATTTTCAGAATCAGCATACTCCAAATACAAACATATGTCAAAATCATACAAATTGGTCCAGTGATTCAAAAATATTAGATGGAAGTCCTATTTGATCGACTGCAAGCATGGCTTGGGTGTGGTAAGCCAATTGTCTCCAGCATACAGAAATATCTCTATTCACAACAACAGCAAAAATACACAAAAATACATAACTCCTATCATACTGAACAGAACCCCCACATTCAACCTATCTCCAGATAGCTTGGATCTGAGCGCTCAATATATCCGAACAGCGCTCAGATCCCATGAACACAGTCAAATCGCCATGGGGTTTAAGTTTAGCAAGATTGAGGAGGGACAAAGCAGCCAGTTCCAATTAAAGGGCCAGAACAGTCTTTTAAAAACCAATACAAGTCCATAAGCCCCAATACTGTTTTTAAAGTGCCCAATCTCCCAGGGGCCATAGTCCCAAGGCATGAGGCTGGCAATCAGTCCCCTCCAAAACTAGTGGCGAGGTCCCTTTCGCCACAGGGACTCACCTGGGAGCCCAGGGAGTCCCCCTCTGTCCTCTTTGGCCCCCCTGGGCCAAGTGATCGCAAGGTCCTTGCGAGGACCTCACTATCACATAGATGGCGTAGCCGTCCAAGGCATTCCCAGCAAGGGGAGTGCCTGTAATGACAGGTACTCCCCCTGCTGACTAAAATAAAAAAAGTTAAATCATTATAAAATACAATTATATATACTTAGATCATAAACATATACATACACACACTAAGTATATTTTAATATTAATATATATATAATTATATATATATTAATATCAAAATACACGTACAATGATATTGATTAAATATATATATAATTTTCATTATATATATATTTATATATAATATAAAAGAATATGTAAATACGTTAAAAAATAAAATAAAAAAATAAAAAATAAATAAAAATATATATGTATATGTGTAAATTAGTTGTAACTGTATTTTAAAATTAATATATATATATTGATATCAAAATACATGTAGAACGAAATAATATATATGTGACAGAACCATCTGTCTGTTTATTGCAGGTGGATTCGTCTGTTTTTGCCCCGTTCGTGTAAATGGCTGTTTCCTATAGCCCAGCCATACGAATGACCGTTTTTCCCGAACAAAACTACCGAAAGGATGGCCACCCAGGAGAGAAGTGTGCTGCTCGTTAACCTATTGATCCCAATTAGAACGTTGTGGTTAACCGCAGACACTTCTCAATTAAACCGAATTCAGGGTGGTCGTCGTTCGTATGTCGACCACGAGGCAGAGGCCATTTTAAAACACGCGAAAGCCCAGTGGTGTTCGGCTCTATTTTCATGGAACTAAAAACGGACACTTTTTCTGCCGAACACCGCTGAAACAACGGAACGCCTGGCTGCCTCCACAAAAGCATACGAACACCGGCCGTTCGGGAGTTTTGAAACCCAGATAGCCTTCCCATGGAGTCAATCGCATACCGAAAGACTGTAAGAACTTTGACTCCATGGCGATTGAACTATGTGTGTGGGATCTGATCGCTATTCGCTAATAATATGCACTCAGATCCCGGCTATCTGGGGATATGTGATGCGAATGGGAAATGTTCGGTTATTGTAAAGTTATGTATTTTTATGTATTTTCTGGTTTTATATCTAAGATGGCGACTGGCTTTGTCCTGTAGATAATTGAGTTACTTCTTAATTATCTCCAGGGCAGAGGGGAGGAAACCATAGTGCATTGTGGGTAAAAACTGTGACTGTATGTCTGAAATGTCCTCATGTCTATCTGTCATTACAGTCTCCCATTTGGTCCCCAAGGGGAGTGTCCACCAAGTGGGAGACCTGCATAAATATGGGCAGGTAGCCCACAGTAAAGCCAGATCCTGTTTGACCCTCAATGCAGAGCTTCTGTCTCATTATTGGGGGGATTTCTTCTTTACCTTTAGAGACTACTGGATGGAACCGAAAGCCGCTTGGTGGATATTGTTGTTCGGCGGCTAGCAGCAGTTCGTGGATGTCCGTTCGGGAGTTTGGAGCCGTTCACGGATTCCGGTCGGGAGATTGCCGCTTCCCCTGAGCTTGGTTCGTACACTGCAGTTTATGCGAACGGAGATTATTGGTATTGCAGAAGGGGAAGGCTAACTAAACGGCGGTTTCGTTTAACCAGGGGTGTCTTAACAATATATATCTATATACATAAGTATATACGTATATATCACTATATTTATATATACCTATATATAAATAAAAATAATTTTAAAAGATTATATACACATATATATATATAATAATTCTAAGTATATATTTATGTAACAAAAAAATTTCATAATTAGGTAATTTTATTAATTACAATTAGTGGGACCTGCCTGACAACCCAGGCCAAATGTCCAGGGAAATTAATTTGCTAGCACTATATTTAACCTTTCCAAGACACCATAAAACCGGTACATGGGGGATACTGTTTTACTCGGAAGACTTCGCTGAACACAAATATTAGTTTTTCAAAACAGTAAAATGTATTACAACGACGATATTGTCAGTAAAAGTTACATTTTTTGAATTTTTCACACAAAAATGGCACTTAATGGACAATATAATTGTTGTGATACGTTTTACTGTTTTGAAACACTAATATTTGTGTTCAGCGAAGTCTCTTGAGTATAACAGTACCCCTCATGTACAGGTTTTATGGTGTTTTCAAAAGTTACAGAGTCAAATATGGGGCTTGCGTTTCAGTTTTTTTCACATTGAAATTCGCCAGGTTGGTTATGTTGCCTTTGAGACCATATGGTAGCCCAGGAATAAAAATTACCCCCATGACTTTTGACAAAATTGGCGTTCAAATTAGTTTTTTGCATTTTTCACACACAAACAAATATTAACACTAACTTTGGCCAGTGTTTGTGACCAAGTGGCTACTAAAAAAGACTGGACATTTGCAATAC